ATATAACATATATATATATCTATATATATATATATATATATATATATATATATATATATATATATATATATTTATATATATATACTATTTACTGATTTGCTTATATACCTATATATACCTATATTTGACGCCATTACATGCCAATTTCCAGTATCCATAAATAACAAAATAGTATAAATTCAATTACATTGAATAACAATTGGCTATGAGATTTTCTTAATATTTAAGGCCTTACAGGTGATTTATATATGTATATAATTTTACATAAGTATGTACAATTTGTTTTTCGCTCTTAAATTTATTGTAGCCAAATTTTCTTGCACAGTACGGCATTGTATGAACTTTAAAAAGGGTCTGATACCCTTATAATCCTATGACATTTTTACAATGATGTTTAAATCATTTCATATTTTCAGCCTAACTGACGTTGATCTTGAGGGTAATTGTAACTTTGATTCTCTGGTGATTTATAATGGTTCAAGTCCTTCATCTGTGAGACTGGCACAGTTGTGTAACATAAATGACAGCACTGTGAAAGTTGTGTCCACTACCGCAAACGCCATGCATGTTGTCTTTAAGACCAATGGTTCAGGGGTGTCCAGAGGGTTTAGTGGAACCTATCGTTCATATGGTATGACTAAATATTTTATGATTAAAACTGTAATTATCGTAACTAGAGACCTTATTTATGCTTCGGTTTTTGCACCGAAAGTTGCCATTTGATCCCTTTCGCCCTAGTTTCGGCTTCGGCCGAAACTGAAAATTTAAGTTTCGCTTTTATTTCGGTTTCGGCTGATAAAGTTTGAGACTAGTCCAGCAATAGAATATTTACTATTGCTCGACGTCTTGCTGTCATCGTATGTTATATGATTAATCCTTTTCGAAAAGAGCTCAAAGCTGCATGATGACGTACTTGACAAAGCCTATGAAAATGTAAATAATTTTGTTGAAAAAAACTGCTGGAAATGGTAAAATAATTTAGGGGTATACCATTAATTAAGTCAAATTTAAAAAAAAAAAAATTAACCCCTCACCTTTTTGTCAATAATTTTCAAACATTCTGTGCCCCACCCCTCGTCAAGTAAATATATCCAAATTTGTATAAAGCCCCTTCACCATGCATTTATTATAATATGAATAAAAAATAAATAAATCCTACTATGTGATGATCTATATTTATAACATAACATTATAGGAAAAACCTTTCAATTCAACTTTAGCTTGTTAGTCAAGTTAACAAAGATTTACACACTTAAATTTTGCGATGAAGAATCAATGAAAAGCTTGTTAAAGACTAAATTATCTTTGTTTGCGGAAGTAGAAATATATTATTGTCAGTATAGCTGACAATTTTAGCATATTTTCTAGCTTCTCTCATCTTCGCAGGAGTAGCCAATTGTGGCTCTATCGTAAAAATGGGCCTAGTAGCTGATTTATCATTTTCATCTTGCGCAACTGATATACCAGACTAGTCAACAAAATCATCATCTAACCATTCAGCACTTAAAACAGAGCATTGCCAGTGTGTGCAATAATTGCCATAAGATCTCTCTGTCTACTGGCAGCTAATTGCATCAGTCGATATTTTTGTTGAGGAGCAAGTGGTAATTTCTCATGCATCTTCGATGCTGTTGAATTTGCTATTACAACATGACGTTTAGTACAAAATAGATGTTACAGAGTTTGCAAATCCGTTCAGGCGGTGATGTTATTATTTAATTTCCATTTAATTTCCCCTAATTCTCAAAATATCTTCTTCCAACTCTATCACTATCATTTATCTTGACCGCAAATAACTCATGAAACTTGTCCTTGTTCCACAAATACAACATGAACAAATATACCGCCCAAGTCATTTGCCAGAAACAGAATCTACAGTCGAATAGATGCCAAATTTTGACTTCTATTGCATTAACTAAATAAGCTAATATTTTGACCAGCAATCAGCAGTGCACATAGAGACAGATATTTTAAAAAAATCTTAAATTGTTAATTCAGTAAAAATTATATATCTATTTTAATTTATACTCATTACATTTTTTAAAATAATGTAATAACCAGTCAATTTTGAATATTAAAATAGTGAAAACATGATTTTTGATGTCAACTAATCTACCCCCCTCCCACTTGTCAACTTTGTCAAACCTTTCAAAACCCCCTCCCCTCCCTATTTTGTAGATACAATTAATGGACGACCCCTCAGATGGTTATTTTTTTTGTTAATTTAAAAAAAAAAAAGTAAAACTTTGGAACCTTAGGTTAATTAAATTCATTCATTTGTCCAATTCATTTTTATTTACCATTATTGTGTTCATCAATGTTGTCACATACAAAGCTGAATGATATTGAATAAATTTAGAGAGCCGTAATATTTCCATTAAATTTTTTTTTATTAACAAAAATAATAATAAAATTAAGGAAACTTAAGCTTATTCAATTCTTTCATTTCTTGAAAACCATCATTATCATACCAATAAACAATGTTAGTGACGAAATAACATGCGTATCACTGGCTCGTGTTAGAGTCATGTAGTAGGCCTACAGCAAACCTACGATATTTAGGGCACTATTTACGAAAACACAAAGCATTTGTATGATGATAACTGCGAAACATTGTTTTGATATTTTTATAGCTTTAATAACTAATATTTAGATCACATTCTGCTTTATTAGAGACTGCCATTCACACTGGGCTGCATTGACGGACGTGCACATTGCAATGGATGATTTTAGTGTTATCATCGGAGTTGAATCAGAGCTTTTTTTTTCAAAACAACGTATTTTTAAAAATGAGTTCTGAACAGTTCCGCAGAGCAGCGTTATGTTTTGGCATATTTTTTAAGATCTATTTAGTGGCATTTTGGAATCCATTTTTAGAAGTCACTAAACAGCTGTACAATTTTAATAACCAGTTTTGTTCCAATACGTTCAATGGAAAATAAAAATTAGGCTCCTTGGCTTAATCCAGGGATATTGCCCGCCGGATTTATCACGCATTTTTAATCTTTATTCCAATAACGAGTATTTTAATTTTTTTGTAGAAACGCACATTTTTTTATATTTATCATACATCACATTGAAATACGTCATAAATGTTTACAAAATAGTATTGATCAACTACTAAACTAAAAAAAAGATGTATGTAAATACAGCTAGATTAAGAAGAAACTTTTTTTTTATAAAGATTTAAGAGTAAGCCTAGAATGATGCACACTTATATTAAGCTATACACAACAGTTCATCCAGGCGTTTTGAATTTAAAAAAAAAAGTGCATGGTGGGCAACGGCGGGGGGAAGGGGTGGGGGGAATCGTCAGCCTCTTCAACAAACCGCAACCCTACTTTTGTTAGGCTGACTTCCGGTGATTGTTCGGAATTTCCGCTCCTCCACCACATCTTCGTCTATCAAAGAGGTAAATCAAGAGTACATTTTTATTAGCAGCAATGCACTGTATATAAATATATAAACGTCAGTCATCTACTTTAAGAAGTGACCTGAAGTTGAGATGCGATAGGAATATCTGTTGTATGAATTATACTATATGTTTATTATTTTACTGTTACAATACGGTGTGTACGATTGTGAGATGGTAAAGTACTATTCTGAGATTGCATTGTACTGTATTGGGATTTACAGCGTAACAAAATCTGCTATTGTATTATCATACTAAACGTAGTTCAAACGTTTGTTTGACCTCGGTCAAATACGAGCTAGCCGATAAATACTGCTTGCAGATAAACGATACATTTAAAATGTCAACCAATAAAAAAGCTAGCTTCAATGAAAATGTTTAGCGGAACAAAGAGCTCCTTAAAGGCTGATGTCTGGACATTTTAGTGGATCATACAAATTATTAATGCATAGGCTAAGCTTTTGATCGAAAACCATTTTTTTAGAAAGCGCTGTGATTATATTTTAAAACAAAGGGCACCCAAACCCCCTTTTACATAAACGCCCCCCCCCCCAAAAAAAAAAAAAAGCAACAAACAAACAAAAACAAAAAACAAAAAAAAACATAAAAAATTAAAAAAAATTCATTATTACCACTACAATTTTAAAATAAATTTTAAAAACTTAAATTATTTTTTATTTAAATGGTAAAAAAAAAACCATTCATCAGATGTTTTTCTGTTCATATTATCGAAAATCTAATTTTTATAAAAAATAATGGTAATATTGATACGTTCCGCAAATCATTTTTCGATGAATGCAGAATGTTCCCTTGAACGAATTTTAAAATATTTCAAAATTTTATTTCGGCTTCGTTTTCGCCCGAAAGTCATTTTTAACTTTAGATCTGGGTTTGGTTTGGGCCGAAACCAGAAACTCAAATTTGTTCGGTCTCTAAACGTAACGATGCCCAATAACCTCGGGGGGAAAGGATTACGCTAAATCAGCGTTGAATGTTTCTGTACAAATGAGAGCCATTTACAGTGAAATATTTATTTTTACAGGCAATATTTTCTCAATAGCACTTTAACTAGCAATAAATAGCCCATCAATAATGACTCATGCGAAATACGTCGCAAATACAGCGAATGAATTATTCAGTGGCCCGAAAGTGTAAGTTGATTATAAGCGTAGGCCTAACCAAATATAAATGAAAAGATATAGATCATGTTTAACCATTCTGCCTGGCCAAGTGGAAGACATACACTTAAGAAAAAATCCAAAGAATAATCAAACTGTTCAATAAAACTCAATTGAGCTTTAAAAAAAATAATGTTGACTTTTTGCTAATGGACAGTTGAGTGTGTAAAGGACTTGAATGTATATTGTGATTGCGTGTTGTTTTGAGAGTATTTGAATAGATGTTGTCATTAAATGTTCGATATTTTGTGACGCAGTGCGCGAAAGGGGATGTGACGTAGAATTATTATTGTGTGTAGTGAGCTTTTTGACTAATGACAGTTGAAGATGTAGTTTAGTTGTGTACTAAAGATATTTTATTGTAAGAATATATAGTTTGTGAAGGGAATAAATTAAACCCCTAGCCAGATCGAAACCAACGAACCTTTGGGAAGAACTGGGGTCGTAACAGCTTTGTTTAAAACGAACAGTGCGTTACCTAGAGTAACATACAAGAAAATTAGTTAATAGTAGTAAATATTATTTGTTAAATTTCATAGTTGTGACAATAGCAAGTGTAACGTCTTGTCACAAAACATAATTCTAAGAAAGCAATTATCCATCGATCTATATCAGTCCTGACTGACGACTGTTAACGGCTTGCATGAAATCAAGTCACAATGTTCTTACATCAGTTAATACAAAGATGAGCTTCATTTGAACATAATCCTTTCAGACTACAACGCCGTTATAAGCCAATCCCTTTTTGGATATATTGCAAGTCCTGGATATCCACTGATTTATCCTAAATCTTCTCATTTGTCTTGGACGATAAATGGTGGAAGTGGAACATATATTGCTTTAAGGTAATCGTTTTGTGCTTTCTTGACACTGGTTATTTTGAAATGTTCTACAACCACCATCTCCACCATGCCATTAGCGTTAGGGATGCAACAAATATCGAATTTATTCTAATAAGGAAAACAGCAGACCACCAAGTCAGAAGTCATTAGGACTTCCCCAACATACCACCCCTTCCCTCACCCTGCAAAGCGCTTGACTAGTCGGTCAGCGAAGCAGCATGCTTCACCGAGACAGCCCCCCAGCCGTCTTCCACTAGATTAACCAGGAATATGGGGCGACCCTAACCAAGGAACACCAGCAGTCGAACTTTCTAGGATTTGGGATAGACATATTTTAACGTCCATAAAAACACCCCCGTGCCAAAAACAGGATGGCGTCAGACGCCCTCTAGTAGGGATTCTACACGTGTCTTGTACTTTGTGATTAAGTCTCGCCGTAGCTGGGACGTAACGGTTGCATAGGGAAGTCCCCTCCCATGCTGTATGCTATAGGCATCGAGATGTTGTTAAGGTTTTTTAAATTATATGTTACTTACTTCATTTAAACTGTTCTCACCAAAGATAAAATAAAAAATACATATTAATTAATAATTATTTTTTCAAGATAATGTCTTAAACAATGTTAGTGCGAGTTATTCAATTATACGCTAGTGATAACAATTATATTAATTTTTTACAGAATGCTGAGTTTTCATTTAGAATACGCATCAAGCTGTCAATATGACTATGTTCAAGTGTATGATGGGCCCAGCAATTCTTCAAGGTCACTATATAAAATGTGTTCTACAAGCTACCCTCCTGTCATTATGTCATCAACACCTTATCTACATATCGTTTTCCACACGGATCATTTCTATGAATACACTGGTTTCGCCGCAAGTTATCAAGTTAATGGTAAACTATTTCAACTTTTCCATGTCTATTATACAGAATAGAATCAGAATAGAACTCATCAGAATGACGTGTACCAAAAAAAAAAAAAAACATAACTGCATTGGATCCGTGTAACTTATATCTGAGACATCCTTCTTTCTCACAAAACGTTTGCAGCAGTTTAAAATTTTTATGAATACACTGGTTTCGCCGCAATTTATCAAGTTAATGGTAAACTATTTCAACTTTTCCATGTCTATTATACAGAATAAAATCAGAATAGAACTCATCAGAATGACGTGTACCAAAAAAAAAAAAAACATAACTGCATTGGATCCGTGTAACTTATATCTGAGACATCCTTCTTTCTCACAAAACGTTTGCAGCAGTTTAAACTAAAAGAAAAAGATATTTAAGCTAACCATAAGACGATATCCTTTTAAATATTAACAAAATGGATGCGTGTTTTGAGTATATTGCACATATTCATTTTCAGCACATTAGTAAACATTCTTCACCAGTTAACATTTAATAAAGCAGAATTAAATCACGAGACATTTGTGTTTCTTAAGCACAGAAATCACGTGACAATTAACGATTATCTATTTTTAAAGTGATTTCTAATGCGTCTTTTAAAATTAAATTAAATTATTAAATAAAACGTTAAATATTCGCCGATTTATTAAAAATTCTAAAAAAAAAATTTATAATTACTTTAAACATAACCATGCAATCACAATTTTAGAAATAAATTTTGAAGTTAAATTGATTTCTAAAATATTTCAGATTGTAATTTCACATTGGCCAACACTTCAGGTTACATAGTAAGCCCAGGATTTCCTGCCCAGTACCCCGACAACCTGTACTGCACTTGGACGATCATTGCCCCAACTGATAGATTCATATTCTTAAGGTTGTTTCATAAGTTAAAGTGTTTTTTATGATTAATGTTACAGCCACAGAGCATATACTATAACAAAGTAAACTTTTGCACCATGAATTAGAACACCGAGATTGTAAATAATATACATATCCCTTCTGGATAATAAAGCATGTTACTCCAGGCTTTGGGCCAGTGGTTCTCAACCTTCACAAAATCGGGACTTTTTATTACTGTATCTCATTTTGTGGTTACCCCTTCCTCCAACATTAAAGTTATCTGCCTTGCTACTTCATAAATATGTGTTTTCCGATAGCGTTGGGCGACCTCTGCGTAAGGTTCCTTCGACACTCAAAGAGGTCACGACCCACAGGCTGAGAACCGCTATTTGAGTTTTCCTTTGCACCATGTTTATCTCGAAGATCATTCTCTGATTATTATCTAAACAGTAATTTATACGTGACAATGGCTATGTATCTTAAAAACGTATTCATATGTAAGGGTAAACAGAAACTCACAATGATCGAATTTACTCCATTCTTTAATAATATACAATTATTGACTATTGCGCCTGCTTGTACACTTATACCTGAAATGCAGAGCAATTAGCTTGTCGCTTATTATTCGAACCCAAAGGTTCGATGGCTTCGTTGTCTATGAGTTTTAGTAATTACACAAACAATATATTTTTGTAATAAAATATCTTTATTAACAAACTAAATTGTCAGCTGTCATTACCGTACTAAAAGACGACAAACTACACTATAATAATAAGTCATATCCCTTTTCATACAATACCTCACAAGATATTAAGCATAATAGATAAAACAACACAAAGAATCTGTAAACAACACGCCATCACAATATACATTGAAATCCTTAACATTCGGCACCGGAATATGTATTCTTCTTAGACTTCATTTAGTTTCACTGCGCCCAAAGGTCTCAACGACTTTTACGATGATTCAAAAATAAAAGCTATTGTTAAAGTTTTAGATGTATTCTTTATGTGTCAACATGGTCATACAAATATATATTTGAAAATATTAACGTCAAATTTCGCAAACAACGTATAAACTTTACTGGTTATAAAATATGAGGTAGTTAGGCAGCTTTGTAAAATAAAAAAAAAAAAATTCTATCATTATTCAGCGTAAGCAGCTTCGAGTTAGAAAACAACTGTGCAGTAGACTACCTAAAGATATATGACGGAAGATATAGTACTGCACCACTGCTGGGTACCTTCTGTGATACAGCGCCACCTAAAATAATCTCCACAACAAATTCCATGCTTCTGGTGTTTAAAACCGGCGGAAGTATCAATTATAGAGGCTTCAATGGAACATTTACAACTGATGGTAGAATCTTAAATATTGATTTTTACAGTGCAAAGACAATGTCAAAGTATTTCTTTAACAATCATTATTTACAACAAAAAAAAATATTTATATTTTACGTATTTAAAAAAATATCAAAGAAAACAATTCTAACATGAATACTTTGGAAGAAAATAATTATGCCTGGTAAAAATATGATTTAAAATTATCAGATTAGTATACATTGATAAGACATATTGTTTGTAAAGACAACATTACGTATCGTAAACAATATACAATTTTTATAGGTAATTACAAAACGTATTTTTTTGGTAATCCCCATGCTGATAGAAGGACGTCCTTATAATTTCAAGTGTAACACTACCTCCCAGTGTCACGAACACCTGGTTTGTGTGGCTGAAAGATGCGGCTGCTCGTCTGGTTATTACTTCAATAGCAGAACCTATCTGTGCAATACAGGTAAAAGTTTCCATTATAAAAAATAAACTGTACAAACAATTGGTGCATTAATGTATTAAATTATACATATTCGATGTCAATTAATTGGTAGATCCAACAATTTAAGACTACTTAAACGGAAATGTTCAAAGCTAAATCTACACGGTTTGTTTCATTTAAGAATATTGATTGATTGATCAAGTTATTTCTTCTTAGTGTTTAAAATAATTACTACCTGTAAAGAACTAGATTAATTAGACACAAACATTTTGTGTCAATTAAACAATAAGATACGATGCTTTTATTGATCCAAACAAATGGATTTTTTTTTTGTATGGCATTGTTCTTTTTCAGCATATAAATAAAACAAATTGAACACAAGACACCCACATTGAATTATTTCACTAGTGAAAAAAACAGCCATTAAATGGATTCTTTTAACGATATAAGGGAATTGTTAGGTCTCATTAAGATTTTTGACTTTAGAGAAAGCACGCTTGTAAATTCTTATAGATTGAGGAACAAAAGAATGTATATATCTCTTAGTCCTTGCCCAGCGAGAAATAATTCGTCCCAATTCTAAGTTTCTGTGAAGAAGAGGGTGGGATGTATCATCCAAAATGTGTTTAGTTTTACAAATTGTGTTTAGTTTTACAAAAAAAATGTTCTTCAAATAGTTCTTCAAGTGAAGGATGTTTAGTTTGTGTTATGTTCCTAGCTTTCTTGACTAATCGGTTTATGCGGTGTTTAAAAGCAGACGTTGAATTCCCACACCAGCAGGTAATACTGGAATTAAGCAGGCGCCCAATTGTTGCACGGTAGAATAAGTTAACATGTTGTATTTTTACGCCGAAATTTTACAGTTTTTTGAGGTAGAGTAGTTTTTTGTTCAATTTCATATACAGCATTTGGCCGTACTCATGCCATGTTAGCTTAAAATTAACTAGGTACTTTCCGTGTGGCCTAAGCCACCAAAACTCAGCAGAATATTGAAGCATTAAAAAAATATCTTTTATTTATAACAAAACAAATTTAAATGTATGCAAAATATTGTATTTACATCTACAAAACTTCATGGAAAATTATACGTCGAGTAAAATGGCCAACGTCTTTCTGCAGCTTTCCTTGCTGTGGGTTTTCTGTAATATTTGTGTTGAGTTCCTCGATCGGGACAATGCAACGTAGAGCTGACCATGTGAGAATAATGCAGTCTGGAGAAAAGGGTTTTTCATTGCACATAATTTCACGCAATAACTTTTAAATACAACGCAATCCATTCTTTGAAAGCATTGTGATTTCGTCTATAATAATTAGGGAAGCTTCACACAGAATTTTCGATTTAGGTGACATTCATTTCTTGAACATGATCAAATGCTTGAACGCCTATGGGATTTCCAGTAGGAATGAGCAGACCAAGCTTTGCGCAAAGAAAAACCGTGATGCTTAGAGATAGCATTTATGTCGTGGAGGGCAACTTTTTTTGCGGCATCGTCATCTTGGTTTCTTTTGTAATCGAGAGCCATGTCGGTTGAAAACTAGTTACTAGTTCCATATATCTATAGGTCTTGAAGGTTGACAAAAGCAACATATGTAAGCAAAAGTTTCTCTAAGTTGTATTGGCACATGAAAGATTATTGCTTCTGCTAAACAGTTACTCCATTCATCCTCACTTTCCAGAAGCCCACGTGCTGCCACTGCTTCATTGAAGGTGTCATAAGCTACTCCATTAAAAGTACAAATGAACTCAAAACTTGTGGCACCTCGAACATGAAGCAATAGCAGTTTTAGGAAAAATCACTCCTGAGCTTTTATGCCAACTGTGAACATTCCTGAAACGATCTTAGCTCCACATCTTTGCCTTGGCTGCCAGTTTCCACGAACATAAACATACTGGTAAGGGATTTCAGTGTACAGAAACTGTCGTACGTTTTCATCCTTTATGATGAGCTGAAACCAAGACTCAAGCCTTGTCTTGCTAGTTCGAGCTGCCTGCAAAGCCTCTTCTTCATTTTTTTTTCTCTCGGGCATGATTCTCTGCTGATGCGGGAGATGTAGCTGAAGTAGCATAACAACATATGATCGGTCATGCACTTTTGATTCGAGAAGGCTCCACATTTCTTCTGGAGCACTAACATAGTGGGTGTTTATGACGTTGTCAATTTCATTGCAACGTACCTCCTGCTGTTCTCCTGTCGTGACTGTAAAATTTGCAAAATCGAATCCTTTGAAAATGTACTTCTATATGTATGTAATGAAATTAAGCGATATGCAAACCTCAATATTAATGTGAACGTTGTATTTTAGTAACCATTATAGATTTTAAGGGACAACATGACTATTGTCCATTTCTATTCCATTTCTATTCCATTTCTATTCCATTTCTATTCCTTCAACTTTAACCTGCATTCTGCACCGACGATGGTAAAGAGGGTATCCCTCGAGATTCGGAACGGTCTCTTGAATGAAAAGCTTCAGAAAATTCTTCGGGCATACACCGTCTTCAATACATGGTGCTCACTGATTGATGTTTCCGCATGGACAATGTAGCATGCAGCGATTGACGATTTCAAAAAGTCTTGGGTTTTCCACTCCAACTGGGATTTTAGAAAAAACAAATTTATTGATCCTTTTAGGTGTTATAAATTTCTCCTGAGCTCGTAACGTGATCAAAATATGTGCATCTGGTAAACCACGTTTTTGAAACTCGGTGCTGTGCACAAAAACTTCTGACTGACCAAATATTCCATGTACCTTTAAATCCTCCATCAGCGACCTTACCTTTAGCTTGAAGACGTGAACTACCAAATTTGGGTGATCCCTTGTCTAATATCCTTATTTATTTAATGAATGAAGTTTTATAATTACGATTCAAAATGCGGTACCTGGAGAATAACCTTTTAATAATAAAATCTGAAGTTAAACATGGGTATTGAACAAAATAAACATGACTATTTTTTAAAGAGTTTGCCCGATTTTTTACGACATGTTTATTAACTATGGCACTAATTTACACTTAAATTAAGTTGTAGTAAAAATATAAAGCCATTTTTATCAAGTACTCACAATGATGAAATACTTAAGAGCTACAATTCATAAAATTAATCTGATTTCTTTTGAATTAATAGTAATTCATAGATATTAAGTTAATACATTTCAAATGTTCTAAATACAGCAGACGTCATTTAGGCTATTAACACAATTTTAAAATAAATTTCGCAATATTAAAAACGCACTAAAAAACGTACTTAATACAACTTATGTTTGGGTTTTCCCGATTAATGTAATTACGGTATAATTCTTTGAACATTTTTTTTAAATATTTTTTTTTCATAACTTTCAAGCGCATATAAAATGCTTAAAAATACCTTAGTCGATACTTTAAATGTATTTGTAATTTATTGTAATAATATTTAGAATTTTACTAAAATACAAGCGGATTTACATATTTTTTGCGCATTCAATTTTATTCGATATCCGTAGAATAATTTTTAAATAAATCTATTATTGTTTTTAGGAATCCGAACGTAACTAAATCGTATCTCCCTTATGGCGTTGTGTCACCCTAGCTCATTCGTATATATATTGTGACACCAAAGTACTTATATGCCTCTAATTTCTCTACACTTTGATTTTTATGTTGAGATCTGTGATCTTGTGTTTCCCCCCTCTTGAAATGAACAACCACTTACTTTGTTTTTTTAGACATTCATCTGGAACAATTTTTCATCTGTAAAATTTATAAAAAATGTAACAAAGTTGTGGTATAGGCCTTCTTCAGATATTAAGCCAGCGATGATGGCATCTTCAGCAAATTTTAAGATTGGAACGGTGTCGCTTGAGCTTTAAATATCATGGGTATATATTGTGTACAGTACAGAGGAAAGAACCCAGCCTTGTGGTGCCCCAGAGCTTCTTTCTCTGGTTAGAGATAATTGGTCATTTACCTTGACATAGTGTGGTCGATTCATTAAAAAGTTCAGTATCCAAGACTGAATATTTAAATTGACACCTAACGAGGAAAGTTTCTTTTTCATAAGGCGTGGTTGGATAGTGTTAAATGCTGTTAAGAAGTCTAAGAAAAGCACTCGGGCATATTTTTTTTAGGCCTGTCGATTGTGAAGGTAAAGTATCCTCAACAATAGTAGGATAGTGTCAAAAGCCTTATTCAAGTCGATAAATATGTAATATAGGACGATATTTTGATTCTTACATTTCTCTTGAAGCTGCCTAGCAGCAAACACCATAATGGTAGTTACGCGTTTTTTGTGGAAACCGCATTGACTTTCGGAGTGGCCCAGAAGGTATACTATTGGTGTGTAACACATACGATGTTAAACATATAATTTCGACGTAGCATTGTCTCATATTTCAGCTGGTCATGTTTAAATTTTGAGTAAGTATTAAGTGTGGTTAATAATTTCATTTAAAATCATCATTTCCTCAACGAAACTTCTGCGAAATGTGGATTTTGTTTTCACTGGACGCGATTTGCTCTTCTTTTTCAAATCAAATTAAAGGAGACAGTATTAAGTTTAGAAAAAAAAATCAAGTTCATAGAAAACAAAACAAAATATTAATTTTGACTAATTCTTTAGAATCGTTATTTAATCCTCTAAAAAAATGCTTATAAAAAAAAATCATAAAACAATATATTTATTGACTCGAAGAGTTTCTTTCTTATTTGTTTTTAGCTTTAAGCCATGGAGCCACTTGTGACTCCCATATACCTAACATGTGTTCAGGCTCCAGTCTAGAGTGTAAGAGTGACGAGTACGGTGGCACTAGATGTCTGTGTTTGTCTGGTATGTTCATGGAGGCAAACCATTGCTACCCAGGTCTGTAGATCTTCTAATTGAAGTATTAAACCAATCTTTCTTGGGGTTACTTTTTTTTATAGGGACATTATTTGTTCTGGGGCTTTAGCATACTTTCATGCAATAAAATCAAACACAATTTTAAAAAAAAACAAAAAAACGTAAGTTAAAGAATGGCTTTGCTTGAATTACTTAAACTGAGCTAGGATACTTTACCTATATATTATTTGTCAAATAAAATGCAACGCTTTATAACAACGAGTTTCTGAACAACTTAAACCCAGTTCTTGTTGTTAATGACGTTAAAATTTTCAGAATAAATGTATGAATAATTTCATTCTGATTATATTTGTTTTTAAAGTTGCACAGCTTGGCCTTGTGATATCCAATGATTCTCAAATCAGTACCAATGAAGCTCAAATAAACTGGACTATCAGGATACAAAGTGCATACATTAACCACACTATAACATGGAGAACTACGGACGACGCTTTTATTGGTGGAGAAATGTTAGCACGTCAGAATGGAGTACATGTATCGGGTCTGATTCCTGGACAAGAATACATCTTCACTGTATTTTCCAAGCTAGAAGCACACTCATATTATCCTGAGACACTGTTTAGTACAAATTTCACCATCGAAACACGTACGTATGTACAAAGAAGACGTTACCCATATACTATTATCTCATCCCAATGACCCGGGCCATAATATAATACCCATCCAATAACTTATTTACCTTATCACCCATCTAATGTCACATTTTAATTATCGACCATCCAATGACAACATATTTATAGTTTTACCCGTAGAATGTGTATGAACATCATTTACAATATGGGCTTATCCGATTTAAATACTTATTGAAGAAACTGAATGTATACTCTTAATGAGAGTACTGAAGGTATACCTAATAAAAGTACTTAATATATACTAAATTTGAGTAATGAATTTAATCACGGATTTGGATAAATGTATTTCTCACACTTAAAGAGTCACTATTTATTTCTAAATAAACATTTAAAATATGCTTCCCAGGACCAGCAACTCCTGGTAAATTGAATGAGAGTAACAGCCAAATGAAGAGTTCTCCATACATTTTGAGATTTGAGTTGTCTGAAGGAAGAGTAGCAAACTACAAGATAACTCTTGGAGAAAAAGTGTATAACGTGAGCAAAGCTGAGGTGGCGATTGATGAACTAACTCCTGATACACAATACAACTACACAATAACTGCATACAACAAACATGGAGATAGCAGTGAAGTGGTGACAGGAAACTTTACAACTGGACCGGGTAAAACAATTTAAGAAATAGCAGAACGAGTTATGTGAAAGCTAGAATCGAAAGACAGGAAAAATGAAAATACCACAATATATTTGAATTCGTCCTATCTACCAAGGATGGCTCGTACCTGTAACGTTCTTTTCTTATTGCCTTGACTTTCCATTCAAGCTTCCACATGCCTTGTTCTAATATTTCCCTCAAACAGCTTGAACGCATTCCTTCATTTTCATACTTTAAAATTTAAGATAAACATTTTGAATGTAACCCTTGACAAATAAGAGATGTAATTTTTAAAACCATTGCTTTAAAACAGTTATTTTTGCTGTTGGTGTTCAAAATACCAACAGACATGAAAAACAAAAACACATCAATCATCAAAATATAAATGTAAGACGATGTCAGTGAAGTTATACTTTTTTATTTATGGATTTAAGGATCATACATTAGTTTAGTAAGTATCAATTTTTTTTCTCTTGAGATATTGTTTATTCAAAAGGAAATTATAAGTATGCAGGGGAATTTATTAAAATTAGACAGGACTGATATTGAGAAATCTCTTCAATAATAATATAATCTAAATATTCCTTTCCGGAAACTTAAATCATTCTAGAAATTATTGTATATTCTAGTTTCTGTATATGCTGATGTTTCTTGTCAGTATAAAATTCATTTTCGACCCTCCACTAAATTTTGAAAACTAAATATTTTGATTTGTGAGATATACATGAATAAAGTAGAACAAAATTTTAAAATTAATTTAAAAAGAAATTATTTACCCTTTAGCCCGAACGATGTGAATCACCAGAATTTGGTTCTATTTTCATTTGAATCTCATTCAATGTTTTGCATAGCAGTTTTAATTTCAATATTAAAAAATATGATGACATATAAGACATTGCAGTTGTTGGTATATTGTGTTAAAGTAATTTATATGGCAAATAAATTAATACAATAACGTGTTACGTTGATCAATACGGTATAAACAAGTTGTGTCTTTTTCCTGTAATGTTTTTAAGTTGGTCTCCAAACAACTTTCTGACTGGTCTTCGTAGCTTCATTTTCGTTAGCACTTGTGAAATTTTTATTCTTTTCTGTCCTTTTTATTTATGTAACGTAATTGATATGTATTTTATAGTTAGTACCTATTGAAATGGTTTTTGATGTACTGATTTGCCGAAAAGTTTGAATTTTTAACCATACTAAATGCTTAACATACATTATTTCTTTTACCAAATATTTTTGATCTGATTCCTTTAGCTGAGATTACAGAGAACGATGTGGGGTCACAAGTTGATATTCCACTGATAGCAGGCGTAACTTTTGGGATCATCGTGGCTGTCATCATCATAACCGTTGTAGTCACAGTTATTGTCAGGCGTAGGAAACAAGACAGGTTGGTGAGCCCTGGACAAATGCTTTGGGATTTTGATATCGTTTGTAAAATTTTAAAGTATTGTAGAGGTCTATACCCCGTCTGACTTCAAATTGACTGTTCATTAGGGGCCGCAATCCGGGATCCTGACTCTCGAAAATACCAGAATACCGGACCATAATCGATGCTCGAAAAAACCGGAATCGAATTTATGAAAACCGGGATTTTCGTTGATCCCGGGATTTGATTTAAAAAAAAAAAAAAAACATGTATCCCTTTTCTTAGTTTCCGAGAAAATACCAGAATACCGGACCATAATCGATGCTCGAAAAAACCGGAATCGAATTTATGAAAACCGGGATTTTCGTTGATCCCGGGATTTGATTTAAAAAAAAAAAAAAACATGTATCCCTTTTCTTAGTTTCCGTGTCGTAATGAAAGCAAGATATAGCTGGAATGTATGTGATGGGCAAAGTGCGAAGCCTTCACACCTAGTGTTTCAAGTTTAAAGAGAGCTGACCGACGGGCTAAATCTCTGTACTGTTCATTTGTCAGTTCATGGAGTTGTGATTAGTTAGTTTTTACACAGTGCTTGTGTAGTGTGTAAGTGGGGACGTGAGCCACGACGTGAAGGTACATGTTTGGAAAGTGAATGTTTTTATATTATTAACAAATAAATGATTGAAATAGTCGAATGAATATAGAATGTTGACATACGTTAACAATTTGTTTGTTAAATGAAATGTATGGAAATAAAAACATGCTGCGTTCGAATCACGGTGTAAACTTTTAATAACAAAAATGTTTGATTGATTGACTTCCTTTAATTATCCCAAGTATCTACATATTTACAATTATGGGTAATTCCGCATTTTGATAATCAAACACCTTAAGTTTAAGACAAACAGAAAGTATGTTAAGTCTATTTTGTGAAAACAATATTAATAATTCACATTCACCTCATAATTGCTTTACGAGCTATTTTGTCCCAGGCTGAATGTCCCACCTTGTCTGTAACATACCTAGCCAACAGTTTGCATGACTGGATGTCCCAGTTTGGCTGTACAATACTTAGTTAAACATTTACATGAAAATTTAAACATTTTAAAAAAAAGTTGTACATGTCAAACAAAATAGATTTAATAAATAATTTGTGTTAATGATTTTTTCCCCTTCATGTTGATTTAAAAATATAAAGGACACTGAACAAAATAAACCAAAATGTGGAAAGCTTTTGAAACTATCGGAAACAAAGTCATCAGTTTGGAATTGTGGAGTCTGAGCGGAAGTTCTTTGTCATCTGGTTACTTTTGTTACCATTTACGCTGAAAATTAAGTGGTCAAACATTAGACCCGTTGTAATATTTTAATTTGACCAAAGATTAAAGCTAAACAAACTATCGAAAATATCGAAAATATCGAAAATATCGGGATTCCGGTATTCGTAAACTTTATTATCGAAAATACCAGTTTTCGTAAAAGGGACCGGTTTTGCATCCCTAACTGTTCATAAGTCTGAACAAATTTGATTCTCATTAATTCGACTGGCAACGCTAGGTTTTAAAAGATGTTATTCTTATATTTCTTTTACATGGCTTCAACTGCGTCTCTCAATTATTATACTTCAGATTAAAAAAAAAAAAAAGAAAAAGAAAGATTTACACGAATCTTTTGCATACAGTCATAAAAATACTTTATCTTGAATAGAGAGACATTAATGAATATTCCGACACCAACAACATCTTGTTAGATCATTGATTCATTCTGTTGGGAAACGTACCAGTGTCTATGAGAACTACCTTACATTTTGATCTGTCACATGGTAAAAGCAATGCTACAAATTTAGTCAATCAAATTTTTTTTTCCGATGGTCTTTTTTTAGGAGCAAAGACAAGGGAAGTCCGAAGATGACAGACACAGATGACAACGCTGTCGTAGCAAATATAACTTCAGCCAGTGACAGTTCTGGTGACATCAAGATGGTTGATTACAGAAATAAGAACATTGTTGACAGCCGTAACAGTTCTCCCAATAACAATCAAGGTAAATAGTTCAATTTAGCACTAATTTGCATACTAGGTGGTTCAGAGGGGGGGGGGGAGCGCCCCAGTTTGGGCCATATTTGGGTTTATGGGTTCAATTATAATAGTGGTTCTCAAAACTTCCTAAAGCCATGACCATTTAATACAGTTCCTCATGTTGTGGTGACCCAACCATAACATTATTTTCTTTGCCACTTCTTATATATGGTCTCGATGGTCTTTGGCGACCCCTGTATAAGGGACGTTTGACCACTAAAGGGGTCACGACCTTCAGGTTGAGAACAGCTGATCTATCACATAATAAAAAGCATGTTTGTGCTATGGAGATGCACCTTTTGTGAGCTCTGAGAAGGGGGGGGGCGACATTTGATATAGGTGCAATAAATGTCACCTCGAGTACTTTCTGAAAGTATAACTGACAACAAAAGAAAGGTGGATTTGAGAGTTTTGACTTTATTATTTGTGAAAATAAGATTTTAACCCTTCCAATTCCTTCAACAAAAAAAGTAATTTTGGGAGAGGGGGTGAGAAAAATAGATTTGCATCCTTAGTGCCTTAGAGATTAGCCCCATTTTTCAAGTTTAAATAATCATATTTGTCCAAGTAAAACATTCTCAAATTTACTCCCGCTTATGTAATATATGATATTTTTATATTAAATGTATCACACGTTAGTATAGCCAATACAATATAGTTATTTAAAAAATAAGCATTTTAAGAAAAAAATTGTTTAATGAAATTTAAAAAAAAATAATTTCAGATGAAAGATTTTATGACTGTATCAGAGACTCAGAAATAACTCCTTATAGTGACGGGATATATGCGAAAATAGGAACAATAGCAGGTGGCAAACGGACGGAAAACATATACAACAACAATGGATTTGTCAACGACAAGTATTAACATCTACAACAACATCGCCTTTGTTAAAACAACACCAGCTTCTATGTCGAGGACCGCACTCTCATCTACAAAGACCTATTATCAGATCTACAACACTTCTGGCTATGTCGAGGACCGTACTCTCATCTACAAAGACCTATTATCAGATCTACAGCACTTCTGGCTATGTCGAGTTCCTACTCCAACTTTAATGTCATTAAGTTTGTTTTTTTTTGTAAATGATAAACCGAATATTTGTTGGCTTCTTATACTAGCCAAACATCAAAGACAACTTGGAGATGCTGGAACACAAACATTCATATTCCGTTAGCATGTTTAAATTTTAAAAAAAATGAAATCAAGGAACATTTCAAAGAGCCGAGCAATCCAAGACCCCGCTAAGACAGGATGACAGCCGGACAACTAATAAGTGCAATGATTAGGTCAAAGGAAACAAGAAAGACCTCCAGTTGGAAGAAAAATCTAGAAAGAAAATAGAAAAAACTGAATGTTAGTATTTAAAATGGTGTTAACGAGGCTTAGTGAAGACCAGTGGTTCTCAAGCTTTTTAATGCTTCCACCCTTTAATACAGTTCATCATGTTGTGGTGATATCCCAAACATAAAATAATTTTCGTAGCTACGTCATAAAATATGTGTTTTCCGATTGTTTTAGGCGAACCCTGTGTAAGGGTCGTTTGACTCCCAAAGAGGTCATGGCCATAGGTTGAGAACCCCTGGTGTAGAGAAAACCTTAAATTCTAATACATACCAACTAAAATAAGTTAATGTGTTATACATTTTCTATATTGATTTCTGTCTTTAGTATACGTCTCATAGCCTTAACACAAAAAATGTAACGCTATAACAGCTCAACAAACGTTATTCCGAGTCTCTTTTTAGCACGACTTCTGCTTATCAGCAAATATACTTTTATGTTTTTACTTCTTGTTTCATTTATTTGACGTATATGTTCTTTTTACATACTCTTATAATCATTGAATCACACACGGTTTCCTGTTGGACCATGATACAGAGACACCTGTAATGGAAAATAAAATATTAAAAATATCGATTATTTCATTTCATGTGAATACACCAATGATTCCCAATTATTTTCATAGTCCAACATTTACACTGAAAAACAAAAGAACTAATTTTGTCATGAGAGTCTTTTGTAAAAAAAACAAAAACATAAATCAATGAAATATTTCTTTAAAAAGAATTGTAATTTTAACATATGTAACAACTTGTAATTAGTAAGAATGATGAGCTGGTTGATCATTAAACATTTGTCAGAACTTGGACACCATCATTTCATATTTCACGTTTATTTCACATTATAATTGTTCACTTTAGTAAATAAGAAATAGTTTTAAAATGTATTTGTTGAAGTTGCGGCTCGCCAGAACACGGTGACGCATATAATGGGAACAACTTTTATTCACAATTGAAACTGACTATTAAAGATAATAGAGTGTCAAATGTATTGGGTAACATTGAGGAAGGGAGTCTTGCTAACAGCAGTGTAGGAGCCTGTGTATGTGTGTACATGCTTTAGCTCCCAGCAGTGTTGTGTGTATGTGTGTGTGCCGTCTTGCATCAGTATGAAGTACTTTGAATTATATGCCGGTTAAAGCTTACATCAAGGCTGATTACATTTTAAGAAACATTACCAATATACATCTCTGCTCTTTACCAAACTCTGATCTATCACAATAATTTTTTCTTCGCATACGCAAATTTAACCATGCTAAAACACTTCTGGGAGAGTTGCATTGGCTGCCGGTAAGCGCTCGCATAGAGTACAAAATTGCAACCCTGTGCTACCGCTGCTTGCATGACCTGGCGCCGTCCTATCTCAAGCGCTCATGGCGGCTTATGTACCCACTAGACAACTCCGCTTATCTGATAGTGGTAAAATCTCGATACCACATGTTCGCCTTGAGACTAACGAGGGGCGCACTTTCGCATTTGCTGGCCCAAGAATTTGGAACAACCTTCCTGTCACTCTCAGAAACAGCCAGACTGTGGAGTCTTTCAAAACTGATTTTAAGACTTAGCTATTTCACAAACACGTGCTGGGGTGATGTTGTCTATCAAGCTATTATCTTGTAGATGTATTTTGGCCTGTGTTGTTTATGGTTGCACGGTATGAAAGACTTAGAATGGGTATTCTTGTTTGTAGTTTTTGTAATGTTGCATCTTGCCCTGCCTCATTTTCTGTCTCGGGTTGATCCTGTATTATAGGCCAAAACGTGTAAAAGTGTCCTCGTTTTATGGCCATTTTAATTGTTTCTATAGTATAGTAGTTACTATCCTAATGTCTCATTTTTATTTTAGTTAGTTTACATGTTTTTAATAATTGTAAAGCGCTTAGAGCTTTAAATAAAAGTGTCCTCGTTTTATGGCCATTTTAATTGTTTCTATAGTATAGTAGTTACTATCCTAATGTCTCATTTTTATTTTAGTTAGTTTACATGTTTTTAATAATTGTAAAGCGCTTAGAGCTTTAAGGTAAGCGCTATATAAAAATGCCTCAATAAATAAATAGATATGGAATGGACAGCGCTTCGAGCCTTTGGGAATGAAGCGTGATTTTCAAATAATCTTTAGTATTATTATTAAATGTGGTCTACACGACAGGAACAAACACTCTTAGTTTGTTTAATAGATATGTCGTCTACAAGACAGAGACAAACATTCTTAGCTAGTTGTATAGATATGTGGTCTACAAGACAGAGACATTCTTAGCTAGTTTATAGATATGTGGGCTACAAGGCAGAAACATTCTTAGCTAGTTTATAGATATGTGGTTTACAAGACAGAGACAAACAATCTTAGCTGGTTTTATAGATATTGGTCTACAAGATAGAAACAAACATTCTTAGCTTATATAACATTAATAAACAAAATAAATTAAAACAGTATTTACAATGTGAGTTTTTCATCTATTTTTAAAAGACATTAGAATGGACTAACGTTCGTTACTTGTGTACATTAGACAAATGAGCAGCTACACTACATGAAGTCCTAAACAGCTACACTACATGAAGTCTTCAGAAGCTACACTACATGAAGTCTTCAACAGCTATACCACATAATGTGCCCAACTGCTATGCAATAGATTAAAGAGTGTTGTTGCTTTTTTAAATGTGCATGTGTAAAAATGAAAAACTGTTGATGTCTAACACTGATAATAATAGTCTATCTATAGAATGAAATTTCTTGGGGGAGGTGATGGTCTGTCTTGATACCCCTTTTCTCTCTACCACCCTCCCCAATGTCCCCTACTTTGCCAGGAGCTAGAGATTACATGGTTTTTATTCACCTCCAACCGGGAAGTTAAAGATACGCTAATCATTAAACAAATGTGTCGTTTTAAGTGAAGTCCACTTCAAAAAATATTTTAATAAAAATCTGTGAAGAATGATTCATTATAACTTTAGCTTCCTTAATTTTGACACAAAAGACACATATCTGTATAAAACCATTATCTTAAAATGTTATCGGTCGTTTTGCTATTTAAAGCAACTTGTAGAGACGACTCATTTGAACATGGATTGGCAAGAGCGCCGACTCATTATCCTTGCTTGCATGTTGAACATTGTTTTGGTAAGTGAAGAGCAGTCTGTGTTACGACTTACATTGATCAATTTAAAGGCAATTTGACTCTAAAAATTATGATTAAATAAAACCTAGCTTTTTTGGAAAGTTAATGGATAACTTTACATAGTCGACCTCTTCAAATGACACAAAAATATCTTTCTTATAAATCTCATTTCATGATAGACATTTTGCCTCGCTGCAGTTCATTTTAACATTTTAAAATAAATCTCTGCACAGAGTGTTCAGGCACAGGGCATAACATTTTGTCCAGCACCGTCGTCCTCACTCGGCCGATACACAGATTCTTGCTCTACGCATTCCCAGTGTGTCACCAACTTCTGCCAGAGCAGGAAGTGTGCTTGTCCTTCCAATACCTACTACCAGGATTGTAAATTTTCCTGTGTACCAAGTAAGTGATTAATTAAAAAAAAAGTTTTTTTCTGAAATAATCCTACGAAATGGGGATGTCGGTGTCTTTCATTTGAAAAGATTAAATGCACTGATGCATTTAGTATTTAGAGTTGTCTGATAATTTTCAGAAATTCCAAAATCTGTCCAATAAATATTTTCTCTGCTCCTTTAAAATAATTTTTTTTTTAAAATATCCTTGTGTTTTTTGTTATCAAATTGTTCATTTTTTTAAAGAAAACTTAGAAAAAAAAATATAGTTAAGGAATTGTCTTGAAAAAATAAATATTTTCTTTCTTAAAAAACCGATTTTAAAATAACGATTCTAAAGCACATTGCAGATGACCTTGACAGGTTGAAATATATTAGATGACATCACTAAACATTGTCAACTTCACTACACCTTTTAAGAAAAGATGATCAAATCTCATTAAAAAATTCCTTTCTCTTTAATTTTTAAATAAAACAATTTACTCTTTATTATTAATATCGAAATCTGTATTAATTTCAGCTTGTAGTGCAAATATCCGAACAACATCAGGTGACATTGTCAGTCGTGGCTACCCTTTCCAATATTTCAACTCTGAACATTGCGCTTGGACTTTAAATGGAAACCCAAGAACGTATTTTCTGTTTAGGTAAACACACGCTCTAAGTAGTTTCAACCAGAGTAGTGGGACATTCAACGTTGTCATTGTAGAATGTAACGTCTCAGTCTGAAGTTTTTAATCCCATTGACCTTATGCCTTTCACCTTATCCTCATGTAAAGAGGCACAATATTTTTAAATAATATTTACTGACACATGTAATCGAAGCGCTCAAAGACGAATTAATTGATACTTTACTAAACATATATCATATGACACCATTTATGTATGAACGTGAAATGGTGTGGTTTTATTTTGTTCCACAAATGCTTTTACATGGATATTGATGGATCTGGACCAAACGTATGACACATACACTTGATTATCCATATTCAAATACCGAAGTGTACTGAACTCAGAATATCTTTTATTTTTCCTTATATAAGCGATAAAAATAACTACCAGGATCGGAATACCGATGGGATCGGGATCCTATCAGTATCGGGATACCAACAAGATAGGGATACCAATGATGTAAAGAAGTAGTCCCGTCAAGCGCGGATATATTGGCTAGTTCATATATATATATATATAAAAGTGCACATTTGTTTGTTTGTAGGTTTGTTCCACAAAGGCTTTTGCATGGATCGACATATCTTGAGGAAATTTGGCCCATATATATATATATATATATCATTATCCAGAATCAAATACTAGGGGGTTATGAACTTTTGTAACATTCAGTTGGGGGCCGAGGGTTCCAAATTCGTTTTTTTTTCCTTTAATAAGCTATATAAATAAAATGACCA